TTACAGCAACACCTCTCCAGGGCTCATGAGAATTTAATTCAAGAAATTTCGAGCTTGACAAGCGATACTGACAGTTTGCCATTGCGAATGTAACTGCAAAAAAAAATTTTACTTTTGAACAAGAGATCATTATCTCTCATCTTGACAACATTTGTCGGTGTAAGAGCGGATTTTCTCTGTCTTCGTGCCGAAACACTCACCAAGAGCATGTATTGGGAAGTTTGTTCAAGAACTGATATTGGCCAACTTCACCAGTTGTAAACACCGTTGTTAGTAGCTAATTACTTATCTATTAGAGTAAAATTAAGGTATTATAACTTCTTTTGAAAAGTTTTGGACCTAAGAGACGAAAAGGAGTTAAAAATAAGCTGCTGATGGAATAACATAGTTGGGGCTTTCCTTAAAGAATAAAGTCATCTGAGGATTGATTCGCACCTCAGTAAACCGTTACGTCTTTGATGTAGAGAGCGAAAAAAGTTTCCTAAGAAGGGAAGAATTTCTGGCCGAAGGCAGTTTTTTTTCTAATTAATTCTCAGTTAAACATGACAGACAAAGGAAGTTTCCAGAAAAGTGTCCAAGAAAGAGAGAAGAACTTTTCATGCGCGTCGCATAACAACCTTCGAAACATCATCTCTTCTTTGTTCCCGCAATCTTATTTTTGTGTAAAAGATGATTTAAGGATAGTTCGTGGTACTTTATGTCCTAAATTTTTTTAGTTATAGAAATTGGCGTCAAATTGGTGAGATATGGTCACTACGCCATGGAATTCGATAAAATATGCGGTACTAAACGACCGTCACTTTGTAAATCAAAGTTTGATTTACCACATGCATATTCTGAAAGAGAAACGTGAAAAGGATGATTTGCACTCTTTCACACTGAACACAGGTAAAGGAATTAAAAATCATGGCGAACGATAAGTTCTTGCTTTGTTTTAAACCCTAATCTTTCAATCTTTGTGTAATAACGTAGTGCAATCACAAAAGCGTGTTGTGAAAACGTCTGGTCTTTCTGCAAAACCGAAACCGCCACGCAGTTTGATAAAAAGAAAACTCGGTTATTTGAGTGCAACATAATTTTTTTTACAAACAGAGATATCGGACCCTGTTTTGGTGAATCTGAAAGCTTAAATAAGAACAGATTTAATGTTACTCTTTTTAGCAGCTTCACGGTCGAAAAATTATCGAAACACTTTTTTATAAACATTAAAACCAATTATGTTCAGCTAACGTTAACACAATTTAAAGCTCGTTCGTTTACAAGTTGTGTGAAAGCTGAGAGGTTTCCGTTCATAACGAATCATCGATGATGAATTGCATCGAAAGCTTTAGTAAACTGTAGTACTAGTTGTGGATTTCAGAATGCTGTCATGTGCAGTTTGTTCCTGTGTCTGAAATTTTGATGAAGGCAATTTTGTGAGACAATTTGTATTTCATCTGGATGCCGAACACGAAGGACAAAAGTAGGAAAATTAACATCATTTTAACTACAAAGAATTTTCACGTTCCCTTTACTTAACAAGGTGGGTGGAAAACCGCTGAACACGTTCGAGAGAGGGGTTAAGCGCAATTAAGCAAAGCATTAAAATTTGTTTGCTGTGACTGAAACATGCATGACCTAAGACTTACATATTAAGCTGCGCAAATTATGCTTCAGTAGCTTCCTGTCAATAAACAGAAATTCCTGTGCGCTCGATGTATTAGTTTGGAATGTAGACAAATCAAGAATATGAAGGAGATGCAAACTACACATACCTGCCCCGGACGAAAACACGACACCTAAACAGAACAGGAGAAGGCGATCAATTAACCCCACATTTAAAAGCGGGTCAGGCAAATATTTGCGAAATACAAGCATGCAGAAAGGTGCTTTTTGGCCTTTAGCTTACCTGATGCAATACACCACAAAAATAATAATACTTTCCGCGGCATGACTGCCTAGATTCGCGCCTTAAAGCGGCGTAAGCTTTCTCAAAGTTAAAATCTCTTTCGATGCTATGTACCTTCACGTCCGGTAGCTGTTAATCAATGTTCTTAATGATCTGAACTTTGATATGCAGTTTCTTTTATAAACATGGGAAAGCAACGTCACAGACACGAGAAGAGGTTAATTACGGTCTTTTGTTAAGCAAATAAAGCGAGCCGCGGTTCAATAGAACGTGGCAAGTTTCAAGCTAAGTAAAACAGCCCGAGGCGACATAACAAAATGTCTTCTTTCAAACATATTCAAAGAGATGAATGAATCCTGAAATTAATTCCAAGAGAGAACGTCAAACACGAAGGCACCTTGCACGATTCCGGAAGTTTTGCGATGCACCCAGTCTCCTGAATAAAAGATGATTTCACGAGGATTCGTCCAAGATCAACCAATTTAATTAAATGAAAAATTTTTCCCTGGGGGGGATGATGTGGTCACGGGCATTGTGCAACCAACCGACGTCACGTACGACCAGTAGAAATCACACCTAAATGTAGACTGAAGCTAGGAAGTTTGAAATACCCCAGTTTCGATTTATCTGTAAAGTAAAAAAACTCAAGGGTATTAGGGGAAAAATCTTTTAAAAAAACTTTAAAAGAAAAAAACTTAACGTCACAGTTAGGAGGCAAAATACCGCATCCATGGCACATAGTGGATTAAGAAGTTTTTAACTTTTGAATGCCGGAGGTTGCCACGTTCATAAAACACAATCTTACAATCAAGTTGGTGCTTTCTTGGTTCACTGACATTCGTTGGAAAATAAACCACAAAAAACTCAAAAGAAAAATCAGTGCTTTACGCTTGATTTCTTGATTTGATTTTCAAGGGTTCCGATCTCTTGTGCCTTTTTCACAAAGAACCATTTTCCACAGAACTCTCGACGTCAGTTCTATTGCTCTTAGTAACTTCCCTCCTGTAATTCTTCGTTAATATGAAATAAAACTCTCTGAGTGGCGTGGAATGTTAGCTTTCACAAATCTACCCAACGCATATATCATCCATCATTGGCAACCTTTCCAAATCCATGGACACTCGCTGTATCCCAATGTTTTCTCTTGCCTTTTCTTGTTAAAACAATTATATTTTGAACAGATCAAAGCTTTTTGTTGGCTCCTAACATTTTGCATGGATCGCTACATTTTTTTTCTGCAAGCTGAGCCATCTATATCAAGAATATTTCAATGCAGTTCAGGAAAATACGATCGAAAACATGCATCCGCTTGATTAGTTGATTTCCGACAATTTACTCCACAGGATTTATCTAATCAGAGTAAGTCGCTTTTCCAATAATATATTTTGCTTATTTTAATCCAACCGCTTTTATCGTGCGTTTTTCAAGCGAAATCATGTCGGACAGGTCGGCTCAGGGAGGAGGGTTCATCTCTAAGCCTTTATGACACTGCAAACCAAAGTGTATGCCTGTTGTCATGACTCGGTTTCTTCACTAAGTCTAAAGAGCTTTGAACCGTTTGAACAACTCAAGCCTGTCTTTAATTCATCTTTACGTTCCCTGGCTTATGGCTAGGATTTTTACCCCGAAGATTCTCGCAAAAAGATCTTTCTTCCCAACTTCATGCGCGCCCGAGTAAGCTTCCTGTTACTGAAAATCGTGCCGATTGCCCAACTCTATGCCAAAGGGGGCTCTTTAAGTCACGTTTCCCGCTTGGCGTTTGATGAAAAGAATTCATTAGTTATGCAAATTGTTGTGTCGGTATTTTAATCGATTAAGTTCGATAATGTGGCGATAAACGCTATTAACAATGATTGTTTGGATTAAGAACATTATATAGCAGAAATCAAAGTGTTTCTTTAATTCTACCTTAATTAATCTTACTCTTTGTCTGAAAACCAGGGACGCTAAAAGTTGAGTAAACCCGTGCGACTCGAAATTGCAGAAGAAAACAGGACTAAGATCATGATATCAGACCGAGCGCTCGAGATTTACACACCGAGATCATTAGAGAGTTCACCACCTAAAATTCTCTTGCGTGCAAATAATTTATTCGTGGTGGTTTTGTAAAAAGCTAATCTTGACGAAAAGGAGTGCTTTCTTACTAGACAAATTTTCAATTGGATATCAAAGGTGATTTGAGCTTGCATTGGTTTTACTTCACTTTGCTCTGAAAACTCGCGCCACTCTCTCAATCAGTCATGCAGATACAAAACCAAAACCAATCTCGACTGGGTCGTGCGCGTTTTCCCGCACTTTGGACAGTTTGTTTGATTTTAGTTCAAGTTCTTATTGGTTCCTGAGGACATTTGCCCTTCTTTTGATTGATCTCTGTTATGACTTTGGGTTTGCTTTTACGACATTCAATAGAAAAGCGCTCTATCTCTGATCATGAATTGATGGGCATAGAGTACGAAAGCCATTGGGCACTGAGAACCAAGTATTTACACTACAATTAACACTTGCTCTGAAAAAGGCAGGAAATGTTGGGTGTTGAGGCTTCGTTGGCAGAATATCTGGGAGTCATATACGATGGACCAGTACCTTTTAAAGCTATCAGTCGTGTCACCACTGATAGCTTTAAAAGGAACTGACGAGCAAGACTGGCGCAAAAATAGAAACCAAGACTTCAAAGCTGGAAAATATATGCCAATTTTATAGTCAAGAAGTCGTGCAATTTTTGCATCAGCAGTTTATATGGTTACTCTACAATGCATTTCGTCCTTCTCTGGAAGCATCATATCAGCAAAATAACCGTGACCTCTTTTACGTAGCAAGAACCTTGTCCAAGTCGATAAAATTTCAAGGTAATTTGGTATTATTAACTGAGTTGATGTCGTAAATTGGCCACCGTAAGGAGTTTCAAAGCTGACGTTTCGAGCGTTAGCTGTTCGTCGTTCGCTCTGACGCAGGGCTAACACTCGAAACGTCAGCTTTTAAACTCTTAACGGCGGCCAATTTACCAAATCTCAGTTGATAATACCAAATTCCCCTGCTATACTCTACCACAGACGCACGCAGCACCACATTTTCTTTGGAAACTTACACCTTTTATTCAAGGCGACATGTTTACTTCCTCGTAGTGGTACAACAATTTATAATCTTTACCTCTCTACCCTTATTTTCTGATACCTAATTCTATGTGTAGCTTCTGTAAGAACGATAATGTTAATTACTGTCATGCATCTGTTCTCAGTTATCCTCTTTTCTTGCTGAATTTACAAATGTCAAATTTCCAGCGGCGATCCCTGAAATAAAAATGAAAAATAATACTATTACAAAAAACCTTCAACACTCTCCTACTGAATTGCCCCACATATTAATGTCACAAGTTTTAAAACTCATCGTAAAACTATGTAGGTTGGAGGATTTTTTCCGCTTAGCCAATGGTCTTTTGCTGAATGCTCAATACAGGTGAGAGGTCTGTAGAAATAAAACCGTATTTTTTATTCAATTCCTCGACTTCTGTTCGTTCTATTCCACACTTTGCTTCTCCCCTAAGAATCCCGGGCAAAATTTCCGTCTTATTCATTTTTGCAGAGAGAATTCTGATGACAGACGTTTCAGTATGCACAAAAGTTACTCAGAATCCAAAATTGTTTATTTACCCCGTTACTTCTCTAGCTGCCATCCTCTTTCAGTTATTCGAATTTTTCATTTTTTCCCTTGTTACATTTACTCATAAGTATTGGTATAGTTTACCGAGAGTTCCTCACAATGGTTCTTATTTCGCATAAACCGTGAATTTTGCCGGCCATTAGAAAGCAGAACATGTACAGTCGAATTCCGATAACTCGAACCTTCAAGGTAAATTGAGAAAGGTTCGAGTTATCCGGCAGTTGTAAACAAAGGACCAAAAGTAGATGGAAAAACGTTTTTCTTTTCATACAGTATACATTTTTGATCAAATTTAATTAAAGAGAAGTCGAGTGAAAACGGAACACTAGTTAACGGGATTCGATCATAGTATCAGCACTACTTTCCAAGTGCGGCTCGTCCTATGTGTCTGGTCTTTAAGGCGTGTATTAGTCCTTAAAAATTGAGGGAAAGCAGAGATGAATCAGTTGTGATAACTTGCTCTTCCCAACGCTGGAAAAAGCCACTGTTTAGATGAACCGCTAATGAACTCCTTTATAATCAGTGCTACCAATTATCGCTGATTTTATCTTTAAACATGAATTTAGTATATCTGAATCAACCGAGAGCAATTACTTACTCGTGGGAGTTGTTATGTTCACTGTAAACTCCGACCAAAAAGTACCCAGATGGGACCAAGTAGTCCAAATCCCCTTTCCATTCATTTTGATACTTTGTTGTCTTACACGAATGAGCAACGAAACCTCTCGCGGGACAACAAAGAAACTTAAACCTGAACAAAAAAGAAAGGAAAAAACAACTTAAGTTGGAGGGGGAGAAAAGTAGCACTCTTCTTAAAAAAATATGAGATTACTTTGTTTTTCAGTCTTGAGGAAGCTGGACGAGACTCTTGAAAGTTTATTCTTAATCTGAACGCTGTTCTGTTAACCAATTATCAATACGTAATCTTAAAAGTACTTAATTGAACTGTTCAAAAGAACTAAAGGCAAAAGAACTAACTTCTTCACAACAGAAGACACTGAAATCTCGACTTAACCTAAAAGCACGGGAAGACGAGGTCATAATCACTATGTTGTTTACTTATCATCATTAAATTTTCAACTCCGGATATAAGATTCCTAGTGTTCTGATTGGTTCACTAAATTCGGTTAACAGCTAATATTCGGAGTCACCACGTACAAAAATGCATTGCAACGTGTAGAAAGCCGATAATTTTTGCTGAAAATATTCAAACGTTCAGGGTTAAATAAAATTAATAAAACAACTATTCCATTAGCACTTGTTGGATACGAGATTGGTTAAAGCCAACTCGGCGCCACGCACCTCGTTGGCCATTTATTATCTCATATCCAACGCGCGCTCATGGGTAATTGTTGAGCCAATAAAAGGTAGAAATGACGTCACACAGGCGCAGCAATGAATCACTATTTTTGAGTTTTTGTTGGAGTCAGTGGTCTGGTTCAATCATCAAAAAACTAAAGTGGTTGTGAACTAACGTTAGCATTTGGAAAAGGAACTCTGCTGAAATAAGAGTAATGTGCTGATTTCATTTAATGATAACGATGGCTGTCACCGAAATCGCTTTTGAGCTGTAAGGCCATAAAATTAAGATTACAGGTGATTTCAAGGAATTGGGGTTGCCATGAAATTATCAATTGATTCGGACCTTAAAAAGCTAAGTTGAGATTGGGATTCACAAGACGCCATTTTTATCATGAATTTTTATAATAAAATAGGGTTCGTATTGATGTATAAAAATTTTAAAAGAAGGTACAAATATAACCGTTTAAGTCTGACGTCTTTCTCAATGTGTGATTTCATAGCTCAGTTGATAATAGCGCTCAGCTAGTATCTAGGAGGACTGGGTTCGAATCCCGTCGAAACCCGAATATTTTTTAAGGCTTCTTTTCTGCAATTCAGCAAGCAAGTGAAAATTACTTTTAGAACAAGTTGCTATGAAGTATCCTGGTAAGCGATAAAAGCACCTGCGATCTGCGTGCCGATGGCTGTATTCACTTCCGACTCCGATGATAAAGCTGTTCCGTTTGCACTCAAAGTCCACTGGTTTGTCATAGTTGTTGACAAGATGGTTTTTCCCTACACAATCTTTTCTGTTGTAGGTGACTGGACCGTATCCACATGCAAACGAAAAGATGCGATCTTTCTTGCAAGTTCGGTGTCGACTGTACCATTTTCTCAGAGAGAAACCTGAAAAGAAGCAATTTTATTTTCGTATGCTAATTTTCAGTTAAAGGTAGAATTGAGAAAAAAGTGAATGTTTTCTTTCTTCATCTACCATTTTCGCTTCCACGCATTTTTATTAATTTGAGACTGATGCCGGCTTTCACAGGCCAAAATCTACTTAATCTAAGTTCTGAGTTTTTAGGTATTCCCCTTACCGGCGTGTTAAATGTGTCTAGCATTTTTAGAAATGTGCTGAAGAACGCAATCTGACCGGTTTCCTGCGCCTTATCTCCCCTTGTTTTCCCTTTAGCTTTATTTTATATTTCTCTGGTGATTTTTCGCTGTATAACGTGGGAGTAACTTCCAGTGAAAACTTAGAAGCGTCTCACCGTAAGGTCGCACTAGCGGAAGTGTTTATTGGATCGATGGTTTATTGGCCATGAGAATAGGAATTTTCTGTAGTTGTTTTTACTTTTTTTTGCAAAATCGCATGTAATTATCACAGAGACTTACTTTTTTTGCAGTAAACTGTGGAGAAGTCGTGGTGCCAAGAATTTACCCATATGACACCACGTATCAATGGTTTGGACGATTTACATCGGCGTCTTCTCGACCACCACGGAGTAGACTGAGTGAAGGAAATAAGAAGTACATCAGTGGTCATCAACAATAATAGTAGTTTAGCAGTGGTCTTTCTTGCCATGATGATCTAGTAAAGGAAATAAAAAACGTTTAACAAGGCTTTGAACCCATCTAAATTGAAAAAAAAAACACCTGTGAAGTTTTGAATTAGACATTTCACGTTGAGATTGAGTACTTAATATTAGTAGGATGTGAACGACTTAATGGTGGTTGTTGTTGTTGTGTTGTTTCATTTAAATGAGGTCAAAACAAAATGCAAGAAAATATATTTCTTTGCTCTTTTGATACTCTTCGTGTTGTAATAATAATAATCATCATCATCATTATCATAATTATTATTGATTTCGAACTTATGCGGGAGGCGAGTAAATAAATATTACTATTGAGGGCACCACTTAGCTTTAGTCGATAAGTCAGGCAATTTGTTGATATGGTCAGCGATAAATATGTTTTACACGAAAATAATTCTTTTTTATCGTCGATGATGTTGGCGTTTTTCTCCTCATTTGGGTGGAAAATAAAATTGTTCATTATTACAAACGGAGAGATTTAGATAACAGTCTCTAAGTGTAAACTTTCAATTTTTCAGCCCCGTTTTCTGAGCGCTTTAGTGATATCATGCCAACTCCGGTAGGAATGTTTTCAGAGAACCAATAAAACTGTGTCGCTAAGTTTTCGAGAAGGATCGATATATGAAAACGAGGAACACAACGGCATGAAACTAAAACTGGAAAAAATATTTTCCCTAAGCCGTCTTGGGTAAATTAAAATAAAATTTGTAGTTAGTCTAAATCGTTTAACTCTTCCCTGAAAATGAAGATGCAAATTTTTTGACAAAACGTCATCGACCGCTCCCGATTTCATTCTCAAAGCTTGTTAGGAAAAGCGATAAAACCGGAAAAAGGTACTTACATCGATCAAAATGGCTGGTATGTGAAAATACCTGATTAAAGACGAAAGAAGACCAACCAAAACTGTCTTTGAAGGAAATGAATGCACTTTAATTTATGTATGTTGGAAGTCTTTGTGTTACATGTTTTAAACAAGTTCGCGTCCTACTCGAGTCATTGCTCTAAAAATAAAATCCTTATTGATACTGAGCACGTGTGAAAAAAAAGTATGAAAGATAGCATAAATCGCAATAAACGCAATACTTTCGACAAATGAAAGTCCCTTACGTTCAATTTTATAGAACATACTTAAATGGCGAAGCAACCTCCAGATAACATCATTATTAAGTCGAGTCGCTGAACCATCGATGCGGAAACGATTGACAACAGGAGAACATCATTTAATTATTCACTCCGCTTCGCCTCTCCTTCCATCGCGTATCTGTCAATGGTTTCATGAAATACTGGCCCTAGTATGCCTAAATGGTTCGAATGAAAAATCGGGACCTATTGTGTACATGAGTAAGTTCCTTTCGAGGTTAAATGCTTTCCTTGTAATCTAAACAACTCTCCTTATTCATTTACTGACCGATACAAAGATAATTTCCCACCTTCGCAGACCAATCATTTTTCCGTCAGAATGTGCGAGTAGACTTTACGTTTCCATGTAAATTTTTCGAAAAGCTGAATGAGGTTTGAAAGAAATGCTGCCATCGGTTGAAAGAGCGTGCGCTATCAGAGTACAAAACATAGAGATGAGCTAAAACAGAACAAAACAGGAATGATTTAAAACATAGCCAAACTGGCATAACTGTCAAAATTCATACTTATCATGACGGTGTCAGTGCGACTGTGATCATGCTAAGGACCATCGCTGTTAGCTCTCCGATCATCGCAGTGAAGCAAGCCTAAGAAATTACATCGGCCGCCCTAAGTGTGAATAACTAATAGCTTGGTCTGATATCCTTTCCGATGTGTTGTGTGGAAGCTACATCAGTAAAAACAGCCGAGTTTTAAGGCGCTGTCATCCCGAAAAATCTTTATGTTCTTGTGAATTCAGCTATCGTTCATCCATACGCTTTGCGCAGTTTGTTTTCTACTATTTTTGACATCACGAGCGTGGGACAAAGAAAAATATTTGTCCCACGCTCGTGTCAAGACGAAAAAACATCTTCCTCTATTTCTTTACCGAGATCAATATTTACCATCTCTCTTATTTCTATCTTCAAACATTACGCTTTCGACATTGCTGATCCTAGCAGTATGCAGAACGCGTGTCAAATGAACTTCGAAACAGACCTCGCACACCGTGGAGTCTCTGTGGCTCAGTGGTAGAGCATCGGAGCGCGGAATCCGAAGGTTTGAGGTTCCTCGTGAGGACTTCTTTGTCCCACGCTCGTGACAAGACGGAAAAACATCATTCTCTATCTTTAGTCTTATTGAACAAATCAGATTATATGAACCATTATAGCAAGGATTCTGATTGGCTTATTGGAACTTGCTCTATGAGAGTTTATAAAATGTTCAGAGAAATGCGCGCGCCGTGATCGGTCAGAACGAGTTCATTATATTTCCATAAAGCGCGCGCCTTACGTCACACGAATGCACTGTTGAGATATAATGCACGCAGCTTACGTCATCGGTACGAGCGCGCGCAATTCGCGATACATATAAAAGAAATAAAGAAGCTTGTTCCTCGTGCATTGTTGAGTTCTATAAGCACTTAGGAATTTTTAAGAACACTCGACGACACTGTTGTTCACCCTGGAAATAAAGTTTGCTTTAAAAATTGAAAGTAGTGCGTGGGGAATTTAAAGGATTCTTTATTGTAAAACAAATAGACAAGCCTTGACTTTGCTCTGTTCTGCTGTAAAGCACTAAGTAAGCGGCTAGAGCACTTAAGAATGGCTGCCTGTCAGGATCGAGAATCGTCCGTCAACGACCATTTTGGTGAATTGCTCATATTTTGCTCAAAGATACCCTTTTATAAACTATTTTCAAAAATCATCTTTCTAAGTTTCAGCGATTCTTAAATTTTCATAAATTTGCCAAAATCTGAAAACGCGGTTTTCAGGCTTCCGGAGCTCAAGCTCCGCATGACGCACAGTCAAAAATTAACTGCAAAAACCAAGCCCCGTTTAAGGATTAAAATGTAATCAATCAACACCAAACTTCACTCGATATTAGGACAGCTATTCTTATTCAATTCTAGTGAATAAACTTTTTTGGGGCACATCGATTTTGGGATTATTTTAGCCCTTGAAAGAACATCCTCACAGACCGAGTAAAATGGCGGCGAAAAACGGGTGATATTTCACGCGAAAAAAATGTACCTGGTACCACATATTTTGGATTTTCAACAACATATTCGTGAAATATTGCTATTTTCCATTCACTGCGAAAATTATGATGTCCGGAATCGCATTGCTTCCCTTCGAAAATGGCAGAAATGTTCGTGACTTTGAGCGAGAAAAATGATGCAAAGTGTGTAAACAAACAACAAGGTAATTTAATCATACTGAGTTGTTAAATCTCCAAATTAAATCCGGTCTCCGCTGTGTCGGCTTGTAGCTTGGAAAATGTAAAGACAAGTAAACTATTCCGTAAGATATTTGAAAAGGTTCTACAAAAATATTTTTGGGCTAAAAAAATCTGCAAGTGAAGTACATATTACATTAGCACCATCTCATATTTAAGTAATGCAAAAGATACATTCGAGAGAAGCTACTTAGTAGATTAGTATTTGATTCCATGTTGATAAATAAGATATTTTTTTATCTTTTACTTTGGGAACTCATTTTCTGTAGGTGTAAATACATCGAAAGGCGACTTTTGACCTTCAAAGTAATTAGATGCAAGACGACAGTTCTTCTTATCCTTGTAATTATCAATGTCACGCAACGTAACGCCATTGAAAACGTATCGGGGGTGCTGAAACATACCCGCGTAAAAACCGCAAATGAAATAATGATAATTTAAATTAGAGAGAGAAATCCCGCACTTCAAAATGAGCGGAAAGAAATGTAGGTTGAATACTCTCACGTCCGTCAGTTTGCATGTGTCGGCTACCAGATGAGTAAACTTCATTACCGATATGAAGACCATAAAATGAAAGTGAGGGTCAACATTGGCATAATTAAAAGAAAAACAGAACAAAACGGAAGAACTTCTAATTACTTTACGTGCTTTTATAAAAATGAGATAACTAGTAACTGACGAATAGGAACGAGTCACCGTTAATTCGTTTCTTCCTCACTTTTCTATTCTGCTAAACTAAAGAGAAAGTCAGCATCACGATGACTTTTGGCAAGTACATTTGCTGACAATCTCTTTCAGTAGAGCCAAGTAAGGGGACTTTTTACGCATGGGCTTTGATGGAATATCGAGGCCAAGGTCTTCACACATGTACTGCAACATGGGTAGCTTCAAGATCTTCAAAGAGTCATTTAGCGCCATTTCACAAAGATCGTACTGACCGTAGATCAAGGGATGGTCAAGTTGTATTGACGCGACAGTCTCCTTTGCCTCGCTAAAATTACTCTCCTCTTGAGTTGCTCGGATATCAGCCTCGTCAGGATCTCTCTGGCGTACTAAGGCACTCTGTCTTGAGAAGAAAGAGGTGATCTGGGTGGTTGTGAGGAATTCCGATGACTGGATTAGTCGTGCACCATCGGTGCCCCGGGCACGCCGCATTTCTCGAGCAATTACCTCTGTGTCAAGCTTGTGGCCTGTCGTCTGCCCTATTCGAAATTTAGATAAAAGGTACGACTTTTGCTTTTCACTGAATCTGTAAGCCTTCCTCACTACTCTAAGAGACTAGCCTTCTTTCAAAGAAACACGAGAATCTTCCCGTCGCACAGGGGCTTGAAGAGATGGCAGCTTTCCCACACCTTCCTCCAAATATGATTTGTAGGCAATTTTTGCCAAGTCCATTAGAGAATGTTTTTCTGGTACCCTGCTACATTTTTCGAGTGACAAGTGCTTTTCTAAGGCTGAAAGCCTTTGAAAAACATGAGTGCAGCCGTCTTGAGGACATGAATACACCCCTGCTGCCTGGTCACGTTATATGGAAGCTATCTCTTCAGCCACATTTTCTTCCCTGACGATTTGTGGGGGGTACTTTTAAAGAACGGAAATCTCTTGCAGAAAATGATGGTCGCAGAATCCCTTGTCCAGGACCTTCAAAAGTAATAAGAGAAATATAAATATGACAGCCATACAGCTAAGAAATAATTATCTTGCATCAACGCGTAACCCTTAAAGGCAGCCCACGACGGAATACCATGTTAGAGAAGCACTAGGTACTGTTGCGGGACATACAGAAAACAAACAAATGTGGGACAGGAATTAGCCTACCAAAGTGCGGCATAGCACCCCTCCCCTTCCCCACCCCTCAAGTAAAAAAAAAAAAAAGGAAAAAAAAGCGGTGTGTTTTACTGGTCAACGAAGGAGCCTTGTCCCAGATTAACAACTGTCTTTGTCTGAAGGGCTTTTTCACGTGTTTTTTCTTCCTCGATTTTTTTCCCAATTTCTATGCTCTTATAAAAATGACTCTTTTCCTTTTAAAAACCAAGAGAGATTGAGATCATCAATTCATATTTGAAGCTTACCATTGTCTGTTGTTCAGGTATCTGCACCATTACTCGAGGCTCTTTGGGGTTAGACACAATACTTGCTCCAGCGCCCTCCACCGGCGTCTGTTCATTTGCAACTTGCCCGCAGATGAACTCGTCGCATCGCGTACAAATTGCTTTAAAAAAAAAAAAGAAAATTAAATAACTCAAATCAATTACTATTCCTAGGTATAAAGTAATCAATCAGTCATCAATCAATGGATAATCAGCTACTCAGACGAGAAAAAAACGTTGGCAATATAAATTGCAAAGTTTCCTCACGGATATAAAATATGTTAGCTTGAGAAAGTTGAAACTTATAGTGTTTTTTTTGTGTAAGGTATTACAAATAAACGTGAGAAAAAACAATTTTATGAGAACATTTATCAACAGAAGCAATTCAAATTACGCGACCCAACTGGAACTAAGGTATAGGAGTTACAAAAAATATACATCGATTTTCGGCTATCCACACGGTTGCTTCCTTTGGCACTCGAGGACTTATGTGTTGCTAGATCCTTGGGAATTGCACAAATGGTTTTCCTAGTCCTCCAACGTATGCCAAAGTCTGCCCTATGGCGTGGGCAAATAGTCAGGGTAAGATGTTTTTGCTCAAATGAGAAAACACCTGTAAAAAATATAAAACCACTTAAATCTGTTGCAGGACTCATTCATAAGCACAGTAAAGTTACCTGGAAACACACAAAATCAATATTTACCGGCTTTGGCTAATAGCAGCTTTATTTCAGTTCTAGAACCTTCATCTGCACTCAGTCCAAGAGTCGATAGATGTCCAGTTACATCTTTCGTGCAATCCTCGAGTGCAATGCATTCCACCTGACCAGGATAATTAGGAGATCGCCCGCAAGGGGTCACCTTACCAACTAGCGTTATATAGCTACAGAGAGCCATGAAATGACAAGAAATAATAACTTCTGATGAGAGCACGTATGAAAGCTCAAGACTCGTCCGTGAAATAACTTTCCTTAGATCTGTTACGAAATTTAGACCATTTACGCAAGAACTTCGTGGGCAGTGATGACGTGCAGGCCTCACCACGAGTGAAAATTGTGATTGAATGGTGCGAAATGTTGGAAG